AATGCCCAATATTTGCTGTCGAATCTACCCCGCCAACTTTGATGCGAGCTTCGATTCCCATAACAGGCATTCATCGAACGCAGCAGGTGTCTTCATCTTCGACTTTTCAAAAGCAGCCTGTAGTTATATGGGATTATTTAGTAGGCATCGGATCACTGCACTTCAGAAAGTTATCAGTTGTGCGGATTTTAAGATCATACTATTAAATCCTTGTTCACATCTCGAACTGAAACATGCATTGCTGTCAAAGAGATCGCAAATCCCTCGACAATGGCTCACGCAATGGCTGTTGAAAGCCCACGTTGCGCACAGAAAAGTTTCCTATATCTCAAATTTTTCGAAGAGCACTACAAACACAGTTTGTCCACTTTGCTACGCTTTTAGGAACGCCGGAACCGGTTCAGCTCAATCACCCTATGAAGATAAAGAGACGACCTCATCATTCCAAAAAAGTGCTTTTTAAAGTTTTCTCCTAGAGAAGTAAAGAAATGCTGCATTATACAAAAACATTGTAAGCGAGTATGAAAGGGCATAAATGAGCATATCTTACGAACGCCCACAGCATCCGGAGCTTGCGACCTAGTTTAGATTCCCAGTAAAGCAGCAAGAACATCAGTAGGGCATGTAATTCTCAATCAGGGTGCCAGATGCCAGTCCATGTGAATTTACATATTATGTAAGCACACCGACGCCTCAAAGCAATCAAAACGCAGAACGAAGCCGCTAACCGTTGAAGTGAATCGGAGCAGTAGTTGCCGCGGTTGTTGTCGAGGTCTTTTGCGTAGTCGTTGTTGTCGATGTTGGGCTCGTCGTTTGTGGCTTAGTAGTCGTAGTAGGTAAAGGAGTCGTAGTCGACCTTGTGGTTGCTTCAGTCGTTGTCGAAGTTGTACTTGTTGAAGTCGTAAGCCTAGAACACCATAAATGACCTCACACTTCATGAAGTATTTATCATCTTCAATGCCAAGATAGCACAAATTAGATGTAAAGTTTATTAAAGCCGCTCAACTAAACACAGCCAAACATGACAACCACTTTTTGAGCTTTTACGCCTCTATGTCCATACCAATTCGAAACATTGCACGATAGAGGTTGTGTGCAAATAGCAAACCCGCAAGGCGAAAGCACTTGTAAGGAAAACCGAAGTAATCACAAAATTCACGACACAGAGCGTCGGTGAACATCTACACAAAAAAGAACGAGTAGTTCGAGCTAAACAAAGAGGACATGGCTATAAGCTAATAGGTTTATGCTAGATGCAATAAACACAAAAAAGCACTTATGGCCAAAACGCGTGAATGTTTATGAGCATCAGTGCAAAAATAGAAATTTACGTGTGTACTACTTCCGGATTTTACCACTGTTACCATTAACGTAAGAAACGAACCTTCTGGAATGATGAAAGAGCGTTCGAGAGGACGGGGTTTTGGTTGCACGTAAGATTTTTTGAAGTGCAGCGGAGCTCTCAGGAGTTGTAGGCAGTTTCAGGAATTTTGAGGATAAAGGTATAGCTCTAGGCAACGGTCGTGTTGGCGCTGCTCTTGACTTGCTTTTCGGAGAGTTGATCAGTCTTGCTGGGAATTTTTGATTGATGGAGAGGATGGAATTACTTGCGTGAAGAGAGCCAAATTTGGATAACGGTGACCGAGGAGCCAAATGAACTTTTTGTGGAGCTGGAAGAACCTGGCGCATTGGTGTACGAGTAGGTTTCGTGGAATGCAATCCTTTCTGAGAAGTTGATATCTCCTGCTTATTTCGAGCCACGTCACGTGCCAAAGCAGCAGCAGCAGAGAATCCAATTTTTGATTTTACTGGTGCAGCACGGTCCTTTGTTGGCTGTCTTTCAATGCTAGAAGGCAAAACTGCCGAACGCTTAGCACTGCCCTCCTTTGCACTTTCTACGGATGCTGCAAGAAGTCGTAGTAACGCTGCCACTCGTCCAGATAACTGAGTGCTGTTGAGTCCATTACTATCTTGGTCAACTGCTGCCTGAGTCAACTGAGCGATTTCATTTTGAAGCTTCAATGTAAGACTAGTTTTGGGTCCATCGGTTGCTGTAGGAACTTTACCATGGCTAAGAACTCTAGCCGCTTTCAAAACACCCAATTGCTCCCGTCCTGTTTCCTTTAGCGACTTCTCTGATGCATCTACTGAAACATTCAGACTGCTCCGATTGACATTTCGATTTCTATGAGCAGCAATTTTGGGATTTGGAGGTATCGCTAAATTGTGACCTCGTTTTATTGGGATCATTAAAGAATTTCTTCGCAATATGAGTTTTGGATTACGGATTTTATGGACAGCAGCAATTTTTCTTCGTTTTTCCCCAATGCGGTTCTGCGTTTTTTTAGTAGTTCCAACGTTTTTATTGCGGATAGGCTCCTGACTAGCTCGAACAGGACTCTCAGCACGATGAAGCTTAGCTAAAGACCGATCCACGACTGGGTTACTAGGACGCACTTCCAACGTAGCGCTCACCAATTCTGTCATAGCATTACCTTCAGATGAACGTGACTTGGTTTGGAGAGAGGGGGTTAGTTGTTTCCGCGGATGAGACGACTTGTTTCTTTTACTAAATGACATTGACTTGATAGGTGCTGTCGCCATTGTACGTGCCACTTTTGGATCAGAGTCCTCAATTTCCCCCTTTTGTGTGCGTCCACGCATATTTTTTCGATCAGCTGCACTGCTACTTTTAAGCAAAACCGATCTACCCTCGATTAATTCTTTTGTCGCATCTGCTGCCGGTGCTGGCGACTCGTTCCAAATTGTTCTATTCGAACTAAAGTTCTGCAAAGCAATTCTCTTATCCCCTACTTTACGTACTGAGACTCCTTTCTGTCCCAATCGTAACCGTAACACATCTTTCGAAGATGGCAGGCTGTGATGGCGTTCAATTGCTGGGATCCTTTCAAGCTCCTTATTCGACAGGAGCCCAGGACTGTCAGTCTTAACATTTTTGGCAGCATCCGTATCCTTCAGTAACGTCCTAGTCTCTGTTGATGGATGAGACAGGGACTTCTCTTCTCCTTGTTTTATATCACGCTCTCCAGTTTTGAGTGGCATGACGATCTCTACGTCCCTAGTTCCGTTGTTTATATTCACAGTCAACGTGGGTATGGTTGTTGCTTCCGTACGATTTCCTAGACCAGTTGCATTTCCTATGAAATTGTCGGACTCTTCTTGGCTACTTGCTTTAGCACTAACAACAGTTGTTGCGAGTTCGAACGCATCTTCACCTTTATCCGCTGAAAGCTCTGAGCTAAATGAACCTCGAGAGCTACTGCCAACGTGTTTTCTGACGAATACCACATTTGCAGTGGTCAGCAGAACAGCCATAGTGGTGGATTCGAGACTGGAACTACTAGCGGAATTTGTAGAATCAGAAAGGACTCTGCAAAGTATCATTGAAGTGTTTCTCTGCATCCGTAACAGAATTTCCGGTTGTTGTGTCCGCTATAGCAATTCTGTTATTGAGTGGAAAAGCCTTTGTAGGAAGTCTTGAGGCAGTAGGACTCCCTGAAACATTTGCAAAATGTTTAGTGAGAGATCCAACACTTCCAGTCGTTGGCGGCATGGCCGATACCCAGAGGGATTGAGAACGAGAGCCATTCGTGGAATCTGTAGAGATCGTAGAATTTCCAGGAGCTTCACTGTTATATCTTTCCGTACCCGTTGCTACTTCCTCTGCTGGTGAGAAGGTTGGGATGATTGTATTGCCAGTCTCAGAGCTATCCGTAGAGCTTTCTAGGACAGCGGGGCTCTGTGAGGAACTAGAAAGATGGTTCCTAAGAGTCGCGACAGATATGCTCACTGGAAGGGCGGTCGTAGCTGTGACGCTTGTAGATTTCCAAGAGTTGGACTCCACAGTTGAACTTCGTGATGTGTTGAAAAGTTTCTCTGTGACAAGTGTGACAATTTTTGGGGACGTTGTAAATACAGCGGTGGTGCTATTTACAAGTAGAGATTTCTCCGTTCCGGACTTCATTATGGACGGATTTTCGGAGGTAGTTTGCAAAAGTCTTCTGCCTTTTGGAGCATTTGAGGGAGTAGTTATAGGAGTCGTGCTTGATCCCAAAGAGGGAAATACCCAACGAACTGGTAGAGACAGTTGAGCTTTGAGAAGCTCTGCCAACGTATCTTACAGCATTTACAGTGAAATTTTCATGTGGTAGGAACAACTGCATTTGGAGAGCTCTTCATGAGGCGGAGTCGAGAGCGTTGAACCTTGTGAGCCACTTTCTAAACGGTTTCTAACGGTTGCAGCACTTCCCTTACTTGGCGAAATGGTTGAAGTTGCAGTGTCATCAAGCGGTGAGCTAGGCATTGATTCTGTCGGACCGCTTGAGCTTCGCGAACTATTAAGAAGATGTTCTTCGGTGTCTGTGGCAGAATCTCCAGAAGGAGTGACGACCAATGGACTCCGATCAGTAAACCGAGAGTCACTTGTAATTGTAGTCGATACAGAAATAATTGAAGTAGTTGAGCTTTGTGAATCATCATCTGGCTCTTCAGTTGGCGGAGAAACCGGACGAATGTGGAGCAATGGTTGGCGGGTTCCTAATTCAGGGGCGGTTTCCAGATTAGAAATTTGCGAAGGTTGACGATGAGGTAAAGCCGAATTGGTGGTGTTTGGAGAGAGTTTCTCCAATGCCAGCCTTATCAACTGCTCAATCCTGCTACTGCCACTGAAATAAGAGATAGATTTCCTGATTCCCTGGACTTGGGATGTCAGAAGTTGGCTTCGTAACATTTGAAACTTGCTCCAAGTTTGAGAGAACCAAAGGTTTCGTTTGTTGGTTACCTCCATCATTGGGTCGGGAGCCGTTTGAGGTTTTTGGTGCCACCGTTGTTGATAGAATAGGAGAATTTGAGAAAATGGGAGAAAGTTGTCGGTCGGAGCTGGATGGCTCTGTAGACGCTGGCTCTGCTGCTTGTATGTCAATTGTGCCGCTTGACACCTGTCCGGAAGAGATAATAGACTTCTCAGCCTCATTAGGGAGCTCAGCACTGCTTTCCTGTTCACTATCGGGTATCAAAGGCAGATCACTTTCCATTGCGGATGTTGTGGTTGTTGTAGGGAAAGACTCCAATGCATCGTCATGAGCTGCAAGTCTAGAGAAAAAGTCGAAAATTGGAGCTTGAAACTGAGATCTAAAAACTGGAGGGGCAAGCTGGCTAAGCAAGGGAATGCTTTGGTCATCTACTGAAAGACTGCTACGGCTTCTTTTGAAATTTTGAACAATTTGAGATTCTTCGACAATGTGGGCTCTTATGATTTGCTGAAGAACTTGCTTGAAAGTCGTGTCGCTTGTTTGAGTTGGAGGTTCAGATGTGGTAGTTAGAGGAAGCGGATACGTCTGCTTGAAGAGCTTCGCTTTTGTGGTTGAAGTTTTTTGGTGTGGCGATGAAGTGTCATTCTTTGTCGTTGTTTCGGAGCGAGACGTTGTAGACGCTTCACTCATAGCTTTAGTCCTAAAACGTACGTCTTTGTGTAAAGCAACTCAAGTAATGATGCAAGCATGCTTAACCAACATACGCGAACCTGCGGCTGATTTTCGAAGACTCTGCCAGCGCGGCAGAGCGATTCGCGCAATGTGCCCACGCGTGGCTGAAACATGTGTCCAGGGGAAACATCTGTATTTTTTAGTTTTTTCTATACGCATCCGTATTTCACCGCTGAAGACTTTATTCTGGGTCATCAAGGTTCTGGTCACGATATGGATTCATATATTTGACGACTGGCGTGCAATGGCTCCCATTTGAACGGCCAAGCGCCCTGACTGAATTTTCGTCAAATTCGATGTAAACTTGTATATAGGGGTTATTTGAGACCCTGATTACGAATATGAGATTCATTTTTGGCGCTGGCGCCAAATTGGCGCCATTTGGCGCCAGATGGCGCCTGACTGAATTTCGTCAAATTCGATGTAAACTTGTATATAGGGGTTATTTGAGACCCTGATTACGAATATGACATTCATTTTTTTGATTGCGAAATTTACGCCACTTGCTACGCCAATTTGCGCTACGGCGCCATTTGGCGCCACTCTGGCGTAACAACTTTTTTCCGCCACATTATGGTGAAAATCTGAAAGCACTAGTTACTGATGGTCTTTATAATGAACATTATATCTATTCCTGGTGTTTTTAGAGCAAATTGGGAAGCTCCAACCTAAATGCAAAAATTTTGTCATTATGAGGGATTGAACCTTGGACCATTTCCTCACCTTTTTTGCCTTCGCGGGGCTGCTCAGCGAAATAGACCTCGGTTTCGTAGTCTACGCATGAGCTCCCATAACATACAGAAAACCGTTTCGAAAAAGCTTTCCAACATCCTGAACGACCCCCCTTGTTAGTCCTGATTGGATCCAATAGTGAGAAGGTGCAGGCGAGCAGGAAACAGGTGTTAAATAGCGCCAACGACTAAAACGAATGTCATATCTTAATTCGCAGGCTCTCAATATACCCAAATACGCAATTATGTATGGCAATTTGAGTGAATACACCTTAGCCAACTGGCGCCAATTTGGCGCCAGCGCTGAAAACGAATGTCATATTCGTAATCAGGGCCTCAAATAACCCCCATACGCAAGTTTACAACGAATTTGGTGAAGACACCCTTGGCGCCAAATGGCGCCAATTTGGCGCCAGCGCCAAAAATGGATATCATATTTGAGATCAGGACCCTCGAAAACCCCCATGGGAAAAGTTTCAGCGGAAAAAAAATTTTCAACTTTTTCGGTGAAATTTTTAAGTCAGGTTATTTTTTCTTCAATAAAATTCTAGTGGATAGAGATTTCCTTTGCCCAGGGGTGGCCTAGATAGATGAGGGTATGAAGATTCTTCACAGCAAAGAAAATCTCCCAAGAGACCTCCTTTTGTTTTCAAAAATTCCATTTAAAGCCCGTCAGCCACCGGTGGCTGACATGGTCCGAAGTGGACATCTTCGCGTCAGCCACCGGTGGCTGACATTGTCGCGAATGGGTAATCAATCTACACAACCAAGGTAGCATTGCATGCTGCATTAAAGCTTGACTAAACACATCAATAAATACATTGCCATCACGCAGATTTCGGTAATTTGTTGTCGACAACTACAAAACTCCACTAAGAAAGCTATTATAATTTAGCAAATTCTAAAACCGACCTAAGAGGTATAAAAAATAGATTCAACGGACCTTGAACCGAACGTATCTTTCTGCTAAACAGCATAATTACTTGACTTCGCCTTACGATACGACTAAAGGACATATTCGTTTGAAATGTTAAATCGTACGCTGATAAATACAGTGTTCGATTCCATCTGTAGAAGCAACCGTCCACCCATATTGATCTCCTAGAACAAAAGCACGATGTGTATAAATTTACAAAAGCTCCACTAGAGTAGCTATACCCAAGTACAGCATACCACGTATAAAAATGTTTACAGGCACTCAATCTTGAACAAGCTCATATCTATCTAATCACACTTATAGAATCAAATTAGTGATGACATGACTCTAGCAAACCATTGTTGGCAAAGCATAAGAAGATACCAAATCGACAAATTGTATAGAACTTTCAAATCGTCATAGTCTACAAACGTATGATGGGATTCACACGTTTTTGTCAGCGGGTGACTGGGACTTTGTGGGGGAAACGTGCTAGAAAAATCAGATCCATATAAGGAAGAACACCGATTAAAACGACAAAAGTGATGTTGTGGCAAGGGGGCGCTATTCACCACGCGTACGATCCAGGAAAAACATATCGTATGTCGCCGTCGTCAATCGACGTCGCTCAATCACTGTGCAGAACTATTCGTGTTCAAAATGCCATCACGATTCCAAATGAAAGTTGAATGCGCGGATGTGTCCTAAAGTGCTTACCGCTTCAAAATCCGTTGCCGAAGGCGGACAGACCTCTAATTGTCAAAAGTTACACACTTCGTGAAACGCTTACAATAAGAGATATGCACAGACTACCAATAACATGGACCCTAAATATGGGCAATGCCTTCCCAACGAACACGCAACGACAGCATAACCGGAATCTGCTCGAAAAATTTTTCATTTGCCGTGCCTCAAATAAGCATGCATTTTCTTACGCGGCGAAAAAAAACGCGAGTCCCAATGTCAGCAGTGTTGCAAAGCTCAAAAGAGAGTATGCTAAAGAGAAATGGATAACAACTACTTGATACACTACAATTCGTTGAGAATTGCTATTTGAACCTGTGACATTATAGAATGCACCTATGACAACGCGTCTGGAATTAAAATCCAAGAACCCAATTAAAGTGGGCTACCCTGCCTACCCCAACCCTCTGAAAACCCGAAGAGAAGGAAAGTAACACTCGTGTCGCGCATTTTCAAGATGCATGAATGGCAGCTTCCCATATTTTTGAACTGCTGCATGATTTCGACGGAATCAATTCATCCAGCTGGATTCATTCAGCTTCGCGGTAAAACGAGACTCTCTGGAGCTTCCGAAAAAAAGTGCAATGGTTGAAGCCTTTCAAATGACACTTTTCACTCTGATTATAGCGGTTCATCCACTACTAAGCAGAGATTTCTGACACAGCTTTCCCTGCTTGAGAGTGCGCGACAAGCTGGCCGAAGCCAGCTGCCGCTGGTGTTAGCAAGGTTGCCGCAGTCTCGCTTGCCGTTATGCCCTTTTAACACTTCTCGCCTGTCCCCAGCCTCACACATCTCTTGCCCTGGCACTGTTCATTTCCCAATTTCCCCAGAAGCTTACGATCTAATTCGCACCTCTGCTTTCGTTTTCTAGTGCAATACACAAACCAATAACTGCAAAAACATCCAACTGATCATCGAATGTGCACTTAACTTACTGTAGTCATTTCTACTTTACGTTACGTTTTCGGTAGGCGCACACAAAACCGTGCCAGCCGAATAACCCAAAGCAGACGGGTCTAGTGAGAACAGGAAAATTCTCAGGAAATCCAGAAATCTGATACTCTGGGTGTCACTGATCATTAATTATTAATTAGGTTGAACAAAAAATAATAAAACAAGAACTGTAAGAAATACTTGCCTGAAATCGTATACTATCGCTGCAATTCTTTGATGTATGGGGAGAGGGGAAGAGATATTCAAATTCGTTTGATCCTTTCGGTTCGATGCGGCACGTGAAGAAATCGTAGAGTCCGTAAAGAGCACCGGTGTAGGGGAATTTGCTTTTCACCTGAAGTTTTATAGAACTACATACTCTATAGGTCTTCAAAGCATAAGCTCACAAATTTAACCCTATACTACATTATTATGCATCAATTATGCATTATGAAATGAATGAAGGAATGAAATTCAAAATAATAATAATGCAAATACAAGTCCACTTAAGACCACAACAGGTAGTTCAACATAAACCCTTAATCCAAATATCTGAAAATGTCACAAACTTTCACGCTCTCTTCATCGCTGTCACTGGTTTCATTTTCTGACTCTTCCCATTTTTGCTCCAAGGTCACCTTCTGCTTTTCAACTTACTTTGTTCATGTCCCGTCAGTCTTCACTACAGCACTTAACCCACCTTGTTTACTCTCGACTCCTCTTTTTTAGGCATTCGCTCAATTTTATCAATCCAGCGCCATCTTCTCCTTCTAACTATCTTGAATATTTCTTCTCGTGGATTAGACAAAAGTAAAAAGTGACGAGTTGAACACGCACACATATACAAATGACTCTAACTTTTGAAAATATCTTCAAAAGCTTCGAACTTCCGGAAGCTCCTGCTCCTTTGAAGGATTTTGATGAATAGAAAACTCAAATTTTAATTCCATACCTTGACAAGAATTCATCCTCTCGGCCCACTGTTCCTCAAATTTGAATGTATCGGACACTAAAAAAAGATAGATTTTTCTGTGATGCAGCATCAGGCTTACTGTGTTTAATCTTGGAATTCAGGAGGGGACCTTCGAACAAGAAAAGTGACAATTCAGCTAAAAGCGCTTGCAATAGAAAATGCAATGCGTATACATAGCACTCTCCCATTAACAGGGTGGACCGAAATTATGAGAACAAAGGGATTATATCGTCACAAAACTCACAGCAGCCTGATAGAACCAACAAATTTCAGGAGAGTGTTTGTCTTTCCATATCACAAAGCGAAACAGAATACGATTGAGATCTGCCCTACTGTGCTTACAAGAGCCTTCGAATTAAGGCTCATGTAAACGCAGTAGGTGTCAGAATGAAAAGGGATGGGCGCGTGCGGTGGCGCGCAACTAAGGCGTGTCGAAATGTCATTGAGCTCTCTGTTTTTCCTTCCTCAAGAGAACAAAGTTTTCTGGGGTTTCCATGCCTTGCCTTCAGTGTGTAGCATAAAGGAAAGTCTGGAGATATTGGGTAGAAACCAGCGTTTTAAAGCACGTTTTTCGATGAATACTTAAATGATAATATTGACCTGTTCGTCTTCCCTCTTTGAAGAACTCTTCGCACCCCGCAATGCTGTTAAAGCGCGTTAAGGCAAGGGAACACGAAGGCTAGTAGGCGGAGCGATTTCGGTGACGTCATAAGCGTGATTGTCGGAAGGAAGTTGGGAGGTGGTCCTCCAGCGCATTGAGTGACGCCATAAAAATCGCCCACGCGATCATATGCACTGCCTTCAAGGAAGTTTTCCGCTTATAGGACCCAACTAGGATCTATTAGGACACATCTGATCTTTCTGCTCTGCGTCCTTAATAACATTTATCAAGTCGATGCATATACTATTGCGAAGACCGTTTCCCTTAGAAAACCGAGGATGTGTCACTTGCTTATCTCACATCCATATTGATTACACAGGTCAACTTCATACGCATCATTTCACACTACAACGTATAGGATTTGATTCCTTTTCCAAACGGACAGAAATTCCGCAAAAGTTCAAATGATGGTACGCAGTGGTAGCGACACCAAATATTCTCTATATTATTGTTGAGAGAGAGTAAAATTCATCTATTACACACCAAAGGCGGCTCACTCAATGAGAGCCGTTGATAAAATCCAATGCGTATCTGTCTCTTGCAGAGTATGAATGGAACAAATCCACGAAAACCTGTCCACAATTTCTATACGCTCGCATCCCGGACACTATTAACCGGTTGCGAACTACTACCATTTGAACTCGGACTTTCCCCCATGCCATGTCAAAAGGGGCCACGTAAGGTCAGCCATTGTGCATCCATTTAATCCTCTTCAAACTACGGAGGTATTAGTCACGCACGTTTTTCTAATCCGAAAAGTAGTCGGAACCAACTAGGTCAGACGTCAACACTCAATCTACAAAATTGCTTCACACAGTAGTCAGTTCGCCTTGAATTGCAAAATTTCCTATAGTCAATAGATCGGAAAAAGCTTGAAATTGTTGAACGTAGCAGCACACTGACTTCCGTGAATTTACTTACAGTTGTAGCAGTTGTTTTCGTAGTAATCAATTCGGAAATTCGGGTTGTTGTTAAGGTGGATAGCTTGTGGTTTAGTGAGCTGACTGTCCGCTGATATGTGGCATCCACCATCTGTTCGATTGAATGAAATCGAACGACACGGAACACTGCAACGTGAACACATTCAGACACACAAAAATGGATACTTATTAATAGTATAATTATTACTGAATGGAAGAATAAATCAAGCCGAGAAAGGAATGGAAATGCGGTCAGAGGTGAAGCCACGAAAAAATTCTACAAATTACTCACGATTTCTCATCAAGGCACTCAACGAGACACTCCTCCAGACTGCCTTTTTTAATCACTCGAGTGACATCTCGTGCGTCCATGTAGCGGTCAGAGTGGTACGTAAAAGCGTACTCTCCTCCACATTTACGCGTTGCTGAAAACGTTACCAAGAGAAATTTTAAAACACAGAACATTAACAAGATATGACACCCCAAAAAATGCCCTGAACGACGATCAGCTCACTAAATAAAGCAAAACACATAATAATTGAATATGTCAGTCAAAACATAGTGCAAGCAAAAAAGGAAAATTCGGCATCGGTGTATTTCTTTTGGGATACGCCACGCATCCTACTTCCACTCGGAATCGAATTAGCAGTTCGAATACGATTTGAGCAATCAATGCCCTGCTCGGCCGATGTACAAATCAACGCTTTATCCTCCCACATTGGCCTAGCGATAATCCTCGGAACGCCGAGCAATGGAAGGCTTGGATGGCTCGGATGGCGCATAAATTGGCATTTTATCTACGGACCGTGCGCGTGGTATGCAGCGCCACCTCTTACTACATCACTACAGCACTAACAATAAGGCGCATGTCGATGATTAGTTCTTCATGGCTAAGAGCTCAGTCAGCTTTGATGGTATTCGAACCGGGATTCGATCACTGCATTACTTATGTGTTAGCGGCGCCGTTTGCTACCTTTCAGTTCCACCCGATGGTAGAAGGAAGTGACGTATTACATCTGCATATCCGTTACAATTCCATAAAGAAAAGATAAAGCGCTCAACATTGACTAGAAAGGCCACATTGTGACGCCCGTTCAGCATTACAATAAGGTGGTCCGAATGTCCACTAGCATAAATATTATCGGCGACTGGTGGCGGATGAGGTAAACAGTCACTCCTCTAGTCACCATGGGTTCTTTTACTTCGAAGAGAAGAACCAAGACAGAATCTGATCGAAGGACTATGCTATGATACCGGTAGAGCTCCCCTTGCTTGAATTTTGTTTGCAAAAGCGCGATATATGTTTATGAACACTTCTCACTCCAAATAGGTACGCAAAGTGAACACAATTTATAAATTTAGTCGTCACTATTGAAGTTGCACCTTATTTTTTCCAATTACTGAACACTCACGACATCATATCAAATCTATCGAATAATCTCTGTTTTTCCACATAAAAAATCTGTTCAACATCTCATTCCCAGCAAAATGATTTTATCGCGACAGCACTCCTTACGGAAAGGATGAAACTAATTCACGGACTTCTTCTCTCAATCGAAGACTAAACCAATCCCATGCGCAGATACTATCTGAGATTGTATCCTGTGCAAATCAAAAAACATTTCCGCTATTGTTCTACGAAAGCCCTGGACCAACCAGGAAATAGGTCATCTGTCAAGGCTACTTAGTTTTGAGGTACAAAACAGTAGACAAAGAAATTATGTGTAATCAAACGAGTTTTGAAGCAGTAGGTAAAGATATTATATATAATCAAACGAGTTTGAAATTAAAGTGCAGATCATATTTAATATCTGTTGCTGCTCCCGGAGCCTCATTCAAGCCCACCTATAATATTGTATAAAAAATAAATATACACCTAGGCACCAAAATTTTATTTCAAAAGAATTCCAAAAGTTCAGAAAGTTCAAAAATAGAAAATAGATTTCTCTTCACTCCAAAGGCGCGGCTCCCGTAAGGGCAGCTTTACACTTGGCAGTGGCAAACACATGCCTGAAGAAGGTGTTAAACACCGAAATATCGCGGAGGATTTCAAAAGGATTCTTTTTCAAATAGCTTTTTGCTCTTTTGAAACTTTTGAGTTTTTGGAATTTTCGAACTTTCTGAACTTTTGGAATTCTTTTGAAATAAAATTTTGGTGCCTCTCTGTGTTATACAATATTAAAGTTTTGCAATAGAATTTACCCCCTTAACTATTGGTAAGATTGTTAACTCACTATTTAGGCAGTACTTCCAATAAAATGAGTAACGATCGTCAGCCTCTACGTAACCGTCAACGTTTTGAAGCTGATGTGGTTGAAAAACATCACAATGATGAGCGTAGCCATCGGGCGATGGGTGATGGTTCAAAGCAGCACATTCCAGTAGACGGCCTGAACCGTACTGCTTCGCAAGTGTCAAGATAATATTCGAATACGAGAAATTTCATAGGATTCTTAGCAAAAATGAATACGCGACCTGGCGTTTGTGGGTCTTCACCAAGGGAGCATGCGCTTTCACAAGCACGAAGTGACAACCGAGCGTTAGCGACTGGCTTGAAGTTCAATCGTACTCGAGGCCACCGTACATAGAAAGGATTGCATGGCGATTCTTTCTCTGTAAATTGAGGTCCAATAAGCGAGATATTGCATTGTCAAATTTCTTCACAACAAAAACCACACTCTTCCTCAAAGATATGAAAATTTTCGGCATGCTACCAGCTTTGCTTTACCTTACCTACTGTTCTCTTTCGCCGCGAATTCTTGGCTAATCGAATGTTATCACACGGATGCGGAGATATGGGCCGAATCGGATCCTTTCGGTTTCTATCGCTACTCGAACTCTTACTAGGACTTTATAAGCCGTCCCAATTCACTGCACTGCCACATACCACCCGTCTTCCGTCAGCTTTCACACAGTTGTACATAACTGTACGTTATAGAGGTGTGGGTCGACGTCTGGCGAGCCGCAGAAAAGCTGGTACGGTCCCGGTAATATAATGGAAAGCTTGGCAGAATAACAGACGTACAATATTCTATCCCGAATTCAACATCTTCATAATAGCTCCAAGAACTTGATCTGCTCGAAATGTCCACACTGCTCTCCGAATTTCTTTGAGACCAAATGGGCAACCATCTTCACCCAAACTCGCAATCAGCATCTTATGAATGGAATTTGAGTGACTTCGGTACACAAAACTACCGAGAAAACCTTAGTAGCTATGCCGATATAGATTACTGCAGAAATAATTAGAGAACTGACCGTGAGGATATATGTATGAAGAGAAATGACACGATTAGGTATCGCATACCTGAAATAAACCGCAATAGTAGCATTTGCTTCACGTAACTGCTAAGACCCGTTTTCCCCCAATTTAGTGGATGAATGAATCAAAACGAGGAAATCGATTCAAAAGCAACATAAATAGTTGTGTCATTACGGCTATAGAAGATAAAAAAAAATCTACAAATTAATCAAAAAAAGAGCAAAACATCAAGAATGAAGGCACTTTGACAAATGTCACATGTGAAGTGATGCATTTCTTTTTTCTATAAAATCTAGTTTCAAAAGCAGATATCTCGCAGCATGATTTAAGGAAATCGCTGGCGATCTAGTAACCTTCCCTGAACGCACACTTGACATCAACTTCGCGGACGGCAAAATCTGGGACGATGAAACTGAAAATGAGTGAGCAAACGATTTTAGCCATGCATCTAAGATTCCGAAACAAGCAGTTGACCATTTCTTATCGACTTTCCGCTTCTCAGCGCCTTCTAGAATAAGAGCACATAAGGAAGAAGGGAAAGCTCTCCAACGAAGGACCGTTGGGAAGGACAAGCGCGATTGTAATTCTGGGAGTTGCAGCGGCTCGCAAGTGCTTTTCTCCTCTGGGGTCAGGTCACACAGTTGCGCGATCATTGAAGCTTAAGGTTAAGTTTGGGTTTAGACTTAAGGCTTATGCTTACACATTGGCTTATGCCTAAGCCTATGATTGGGCCTAGGCTTAGTCCTAAGCTTGCTCCGAGCGAATGAACGGCGTCTCAATTTTAGGTGACCTGACCCCAGGAGGAGAAACGCTACGCATCCGGGCCCTCAAACATCGGAAAGGAGCGCCAAGTTCTATCGAAAAAAGCGAATTTCCGCTCCAGTGCATTTCCTAAGCATGAGTGCACCGAGTACTTGCATATTGAGATTTTTTCACACAAAAGCTTAGCCATGTATTACGCCAGAAAGCTCGCAAAATATAACCTCATTTCTGAGCTCCATGCATAGGAATGCGCACAGCTGCTGTGAAAATACGCCACACGTCTTCACATTCTTCCTAATTCGGCAAAACGTTAGCCAAAATGGTCAGAATATTTGACGTACGTTTCATCAACAAATCATTATTATCTGTCATTTAGCAAACACGTGTACTACTCTCACGATTCCGCGACACCAGTCATAAGTAGCCATTAGATGCACGAACGCTAACGATATCCGTATGTGATCCCACCGACAGTAAGCAAGGTCAATGAGCGAAGCCAAGCTAGACTACCTGTCACCATCATGCTTAACTGAAAAACGTTTACCTATCCTTTCCTAATGATGTTGATCGCTCTCTTAGCATTTTCTTTGGAGATGAACAGCATTTTACTGCACACATGAAAGCGTACTTGAAAAGTAAAGTTGCATTATATTAAAGTTTTCCACCACTTGTATACTTCTGTTTTTTTCAAATGAAGAAATCTAACCATAATTCCGTCCCTGTGTGTGGGTGGTGGTTTTTTCTTTTTGAATGAATGCAAAACAGAGCAATGAAAAACAACGTTTCCCCGATGAATACCGGCAATAAAACCAATGGGGATGAATCGGTAGCATTACTTTCGAGCATAGATCATGCCTCCTTCGATATGACGAAGTAGTGCACAGATTCACCCAATAAAATATTTCAGGAATCCGATTCAGCTAGACTGTGGTATTGTGAAAGTCTAGTGTGAGTATGACAATGTTGATCATCCATAATAAAATCAAAATGGTTCTGCAAAATGGGAAGACAGTTGTAATACCACTAACACAGGACTTTGTCACGTGTCAGCCTATCAATTAAATTAGGCGCATATCACCAAAAGAGAGCTCATTATTATCCAGCTGGACGCAAATAAGAAAACATGTTAGTCATAT